GACTCGAGTGGTAATGACTGGCCCCTCCGGTGGCAGATACTGGCACATACCACTTTGACGGTGGCATCTACTGGCACAGAGACACGTTAGATTAAAAATTCGATTTAAATTTAGTCTTCTATATTTGAGGATAAATAATACCTAGAATTTGAAAAAAAGAAAGCTTTGTACTTGACCCCTGAATGCAGAATAGTTCACCTAACCACAAAAAATGTATAATCCAGTATAAAACGCCAGACTCGGTCAACTTGTTGACGGTATTGACGGTATCGTAGTATTCTATTAACACGCTTAATGCCCTAAATAACTGTAGTGTTTTCCCTCACTTACCTGCAACTGTATTAATTCTTCGAGTTATCATATTTACTTTGATAGCAATAAGTCGACTACTCAACTAATGGTACCTATTGACCACTTGTTAATTAATGGGAAGAAGAAATAACCATACTGAATATGGTCGTATTCGGAGAATAACCAACTGCCTATTTCTCCGCACTCGTATAGAAAAATCTTTTTCGTGTCGCAGGACCTGAATAACCCCATTTTCGGGGTGCTGCGACGTTGTACAGCCAGTGTGAAGAAAAATTACGTTCGTCGCTCGACCGAAAATAACTTTTCCGACTCGTGTGATTGCATTCCTTGGTTTCGCCTCCGCCTGCAACCCTCATACTCGTCAGAAAAGTTTTTTCCGTCCTGTAAGGATAATAGCCATTTTGAGATACCTGCCTCAAAAGTGCACTTTTCGAATTCGTTTAGTGTGCGTAAGGTCTTCTCCGCACGGTCTGCGTCAACCACGAAGACGTTTTTACGGGCAAGGCCCCGATAAGTTGTAATTCTATGAAATTCTTAATAATTGTTCGGTATTCGAAAAAGATGACCCCCCAGTTCTATGTAACAATGGAAGAAAGAAGTTTTAAAAATTCATCCTACACGGAGAGAAAAATTGAATAAAAATTACCTGGAAAATCATGGCAACTTTTACTGTACGTAAGGTAATCGTGGGACGAAATGTATCCAATGAACAAATACTTATTTGTAAGGGATATTTTACGATTCGTTTGGTAAAGAAAACACATCTATCGATGCAAAAATTATCCTCCTACATAGTAAAATTTCCCACACCGGTAGAGTATTACTCGTCGTAGACCCATTTGAAGGATATGGCGACGGACGGAAGTGAAATTTTACCGAACGCGTTCGGTCAAAAGTCACTTTCCGCTACATGAAAATCACACGCAATATTTCGCAATTATCCACGTTCACTACGATAATTTTTGATGTAAGTTTTCTTGATCTATCGCGAAAAAATTCACCATCGTTCTGCACTTTTTCCCCGATTTAGGGTGAAAAAGTCTTGAAAATTGAGCTCGCTCCACGATTACTTGACTTGTTTGGTAATTTCTCTCCAACTTTTCTTTTCCGTGAAGTACATCTATTTGAATTTCGTAAAATTCCAAATACATGGATGGACACAAAGCTAGCGAAACGTTTAAGAACGTATATATTGTTTAAACTGTCATTACATTGCTTTTTGTGACTCCGGCCGTAGAGCAGCGTTTCACAGCCGGAATGAGAACAAATATCGTTCGTCATACGGCCAAAAAAAACTTTTCTAGCTCATATGATTGCAGCCCTCGCCTTCGGTTCGTGCTGCAAATCTCATATTCGCCAGAAAAGTTTTTTTCGGCCTAATGAAGAAATATACTATTGTTTCCTCCGGTCGTATATTTCTAAGCAGTCCAATATTAACAGGTTACGCTGACAAGAGGTGTCGGCGAAAATAGAAAGCAGTGGCAGCTACAGGAAAAATATTACCTAGCGGCTAAGAAGGCCAAAACCCTGCAAGCTGTAGTAAAGAATATGACTTTGGCATTGGATGCGCCAGATACTAAGCCTCTGTCACGTTTTCGTCGTCAATCTGGATCGGCCGATACAACTAACCTGCTGTAACCCAAATTTCTCGAGGATCTCAGAGGTATATTTCTTTCATACAAGTATATGAAATTACCTCCAAGGGCCTATTGAAATTTGAATTCACTGTTTCTGTTGGAAATCCTGTCAGCTGACAGGTCCCTCACACTAACGCACGCAAGGCTCATCCATTCTCTCCCCACTCACGCACACCTGATGCGTTCACCTCAGATGACCGGGGGTTGTTAATTCGGACACCTGAGGCGCCACGTCCTGGACAGCTCCTTATTACCATATGATCTACATTAAATTAGGTCATGTGACCATCGAATTAGGGCACGTGGCACCTGTAAGCCCGTGTCTCTCTCTCATTCGTTTCCGGGATCGAGTTAGAGACACTTCTTTTATGGTACTGCTCTTCTCTAGTGACTCGGATTAACTCATTGTGTCAGCTCAATTATTATCAATTCAAGGAATTAGTCGGCTCACTATTATCGGTCCGCTCATTATTACGGTTGCTCAGTGACTCAATCTCTAGTGATTTAATTATTGTGAATATAACTTTGACAAATACAGTGAATTTGTGACCACGTGCACGTGTTCCGCTCATTTCTTGGTTCTACTCATCCCACTCCCCGTAATCCGACTCCAACTCATCCATCCGCACAATTAATTCCCCGATCCAGGCATCTCATCAAACATCTTGGTCCTTCGAGCCGGATCGGTGGAATATTTTTCGGTTTTCGGTTTTTTTGTTGGGTTTTGGCGGAAGTGGAAGTGACGCGGTCAGTGGTGCTCAACCTACGGGGACCAGCTCGTTGGCTCAGCGTACGCAGTGGACCTCAACCAGTCCAGCTCTCCAATCATCAGGGAACTGCATTACCGGCCCGCGGGAATATTTGAATTTTGGAGCAGCTCATCCCCGGGACTTTGGACTTTTTTCTCAACTGCAGCGTTCCTGCACTGGTCCAGCTCAACATCACTCACTCGGCTAAGTAGCATTTAATTACCTCTTGCTACTTTTGCCATTTTTTCCTTTTTTTTGAATTTTTTGGAGCATTCAACTTTGTTTTTTTTGGCTACCGCTCCCTTTATATTTTCCAACCCTTTTTCGTTCTTTTTGAATTTTTTAAAAAAAATTCTCGCGCCTGCTCAGTGGAATCGCTCACTGCTGCTACCTGCTCAATTAAGATTCTTCGGTGTTTTTACTGTTGCCGCACAACCGACCGGATACTTAATTTCATCGCTTCTCACTGCTCACTGCTCGGCTTTTGGGGTCGCTTTACTCAGGTTTTTTCCGGTTTATTCCTTTTTTGAGCTGCGCACTTATTTTCAATTATGGCATCATTTGAGGCGACCATTAGCCTGAATAACTCTCGGGCAGCGTTCATCGAACGCGTTTACAAGGAGCTGCTCACAGAAGAGGCGAAAAGCCTCACAATCTCCAATCTCCAGGGTAAACTCGAGATCCTGGAGACCTACTGGGAAAAATTCGAGAGCACTCATGAGAAGCTCATCGCTGGCAGCGGTAAGATCGAAGGGGTCCTTGAATTGCCGTACTTCAAGGACCATCGGTTTGACATTACTATCGGGCATTATCATGAGGCAAGGGGTATTTTAAGCCAGCTCATTGATAAAAGGGGGATCTCAGGTTCATCTCGTCGGTCTCTCGCGTCTGGGACGGCTCAGCCCACATACTCCAAGCGTTATCTCCCTGAGATTTCTCTGCCCAAGTTCGGAGGGGCCTATGCGGACTGGCGCTCGTTCCGCGATCTTTTCGCGTCTCTGGTCGGCTCGAATACGGATCTATCCAACGTGGAGAAGATGCATTATCTTCGTACTAGTCTCTCAGGGGAGCCAGCTCAACGCATCGCGAATCTTACGATCCCGGAAACGAATTGCGGAAAGTATTGCGGGGGCCTCCACCACTCGATGCTCCACAACCAGACATCGAGTCAGCCTCAACGTCCAGCTCAGCAGAGGCAACAGACCAACTCAACCCAGCAAAAGGCCGTTCCGGTGGTGACCTACACCCACGAGAACGACATCCCCATGGTGGTGACTGGTGACCAAGGCCAGTCAACGTCGTCGGAATGAAGATCACCAGCTCAGATTGCCGTCTCCTGCTCAGGTCACCACTCAGATTCCGGATCCGCTCCAGACTTCCGCCCTGGGGTCCTTCTGGCTACCAGCCTTGCGCTTTTGGTACGCCCAGATCAGCCAGCTCATCAGGTTCGTCTACTCATCGATCCAGGGTCGGAAATCTCCGTCATCTCAGACCAGCTCGTTCGTCAGCTTGGGCTGTTAAGGCTCAAGACACAGCTACGAATATCGGGGATTGGAGACACGGCATCTGGGCCGGCATTAGGCAAGGTTCGGCTCACAATACAGTCCACTTGCTCTCACTTTCAGCTCAGAGTTTCTGCCTATGCTCTCGGCCAGCTCACAACCTCATTACCGACATTCTCACCAAGTCAGCTCACATGGGATCATCTGGAAGGACTCCAGCTCGCTGATCCCGATTTTCTCACACCAGCACCAATTGACATCCTTCTTGGCGCTGATGTCTATGGACAACTCATCTTACCACAAGTCATCACCAACGGACCAAACTCACCATCGGCTCAGCTCACGCGACTTGGATGGATCGTATTCGGACCAACGGAAGGTCCTGATACTACTCAAGTAGCAACTTCTCATCTAACGGTCACCAACGAGGATCTCAACGAACTGCTCACCAAATTCTGGATCCAGGAAGAGATCCCTGGGACACCAGAGGTTCAGCTCAACGAGGAGGAAGCGCAGTGTGAAGAACACTTTCAACGGACCCACTCACGAGATGCATCTGGCCGCTACATTGTTCGGATACCGCTCAAATCTCCAGTTTCCTCGCTAGGAGATTCACGATCGTCTGCACTCGCTTGCCTCCATCGTCTGCTCAGGAAACTCTCACGTGATGAGGTTTATCGTCAGCTCTACACGGACTTCCTCAGGGAATATGAAGAGCTCGGCCACATGCGTCGAGTCTCCGGACAGCTCGCTAGATCAGCTCATCAGCGCCAGCTCAATGGGGGGGCACGGGCACCGAAATGACCTTAGCACATGAGGCCTCGGCTTCAGGAGGGTTGAGGGTTTCGGGCCGTCCGTGTTCTTCTCGGGCTGACGCTCCTCCGGAATATTTCTTCCCTCATCACGGAGTTCTCAGGGCGAGCAGTGAGACAACGAAGCTCAGAGTTGTTTTCAACGGCTCCAACAAGACCAGCTCAGGACAATCGTTGAACGAGATTATGCACACGGGTGAGAAGTTGCAGAAGGATATCTCGGATGTACTTCTCTTTTCTCGGCGGAAACGGCTCATTTTCATGACGGACATAACCAAGATGTTTCGTCAAATTCGGGTACATCCGGAAGATTGGCCACTCCAACAAATACTCTGGACCGACTCAAACGGAGATATCGCCACCTATCAACTCACCACGGTCACATATGGCACTAGGTCAGCTCCGTTCCTCTCAATGCGTGTTCTTCATCAGCTCGTTGAGGATGAAGGATCGAACTATCCTCTCGCTGTGGAACCGCTCATGAAAGGACGATATGTTGACGATATCTGCGGGGGTGCTGACTCAGATGAAGAGCTACTCAGGACCGCTCATCAGGTGACACAGCTCTGTCGGTCAGGAGGCTTTCCGCTAGCCAAATGGCACTCAAATAGCCCAGCTCTACTCACATCTCTTCAACCTGACAGCACCTCTCAAGAACAACGATTCATAGAGGACTCGCTCACCAAGATTCTAGGGGTTTCTTGGCATCCTGGAACGGACAACTTCAAGTTCTCCGTCACTCAGCCTGAGACCAGCTCAATAACGAAGAGAATCATTTTATCGGAAACGGCTCAACTCTTCGATCCACTGGGTTTCCTAGCGCCAGTGGTCATACGAGCGAAGATATTGCTCCAGGCTCTATGGATCGAGAAACTGGGATGGGACGAACCAGTTTCCCAGACAACTGCTCAACGATGGAGCCAATTCAGGGAGGAGCTCACACAGTTATCAGAGATCACCATACCTCGGTGGCTTGGACTGCTCACGGATTCCGTCGTCGAAGTACACGGTTTTTCCGACGCATCACAAGTGGCGATGTCAGCCGTGATCTATCTCAAGGTTCTCAACAAGGGAAAATCACAACTCACATTGGTTTGCTCAAAAACGAAGGTCGCACCGCTCAAACGGCTGACAATCCCACGACTAGAACTCACTGCGGCTCTCCTCCTGGCCAAACTGACTAAGTACGTCAAGGACCAACTCAATCTCACGAACGCCACCACCTATCTCTGGACCGACTCATCGGTCACGCTCACGTGGATCAGCTCACACTCCTCAAGATGGAAGGAGTTCGTGAAAAATCGGGTGGCACTCATCCAGGAGCTCACTCAGCAGGCTCATTGGAGATTGGTACCGGGCAAGGAGAATCCTGCAGACTGTGCATCTCGAGGTCTATCAGCGCACCAACTGGTATCTCATAAGCTCTGGTGGAAAGGGCCACCATGGCTTCATCAAGACTGCTCATCATGGCCAACTCACGCTCTGGAAAAAGACCTCAGCGCAGACCTCGAGGAAAAGCCAGGAGTTCTCCTACATGTAAAAGCTCATCCAATCGCGCTCTGGAATCTCGTCGACAGATTCTCATCGTTCAACCGACTGCTCAGGGTCACAGCAATCTGTCGACGATTCATAGCTCGGCTCAGGAAAACCCCCAACTCTTCTCTTCGATACCCGCTCACTCTTGGTGATCTTGAAGAGGCTCGCATCCTCTGGATCAAACTCACGCAGGCAGCTCACTTCAAGGATCAACTCAGAGCGATCTCACGAGGGGAAAGGTTCAGCAAATCCCACCCCCTCACCAAGCTCACACCCTTCATCGATCGCCAAGGGGTATTGAGGATAGGAGGACGGCTCAAGTTTGCTCACATAGGCCCGGAGAGCCGGAACCAAGTGATTATTCCGAAGGAATCTCAACTGGCTCAGCTACTCATCGGACAGGCTCATCTAAGGACACTCCACGGAGGCACACAGCTCACCCTCAGGCAGCTCAGAAGTAGCTACTGGATACTCGGAGGTCGAGCACCAGTACGCTCCTTCATCCTCAAGTGCGTTAACTGCACTCGCCAACGTGGAGTACGCGCTCAACAGCTCATGGGCCAGTTGCCACCAGCCAGACTCACTCCCGCTCGAGCCTTTCTCAACACTGGGATCGACTATGCCGGCCCAGTGTCTCTACGGTCCTGGAAAGGGCGGGGACACAAGTCGTACAAAGGCTGGTTGGCTATCTTTGTCTGCATGACCACCTCAGCGGTCCATCTCGAGGTCGTGTCAGACTACTCAGCCGAGGGGTTCATCGCGGCGTATAGACGCTTTTCAAGTCGGCGTGGGATCGCTCATTCCTTGTTCAGTGACTGTGGGACCAATTTCCTTGGCGCTGACAAGGAACTAAAGAAGCTCTTCTCGTCAGGATCAGCTCAATCAAGACAGCTCGCACAGCTCCTCATCAATGATGGGACTCAGTGGTCCTTCAATCCTCCAGGTGCTCCGCACTTTGGAGGGAAATGGGAAGCGGCGGTGAAGTCGGTGAAGTTCCATCTCACCCGGACGATCGGAGAGGATCTGCTCACTTTTGAGGAACTCACCACTTTGCTCGCTCAAATCGAGGCAGTGCTCAACTCACGACCACTGGAACCGCTCACGGATGATCCTGATGACTGTTCAGCCTTGACACCAGGGCATTTTCTCATCGGTCAGGCTCCCACGACTCTTCCAGAGCCATCTTTAGAGCAACTCAACGTCTCAAGGCTCTCTAGATGGCAGCTCATTCAGCAGAAGCTTCAAGGATTCTGGAAGAGGTGGTCCACGGGATATCTCCAACGTCTTCAAGCGATATCCAAGTGGCACCATCCGACTCATCAGATACGGATCGGCTCACTGGTTCTACTCACGGACGAGAGATTCCCGCCAGCGAAGTGGCCTCTCGCCCGAGTGACCGCTCTGCACCCAGGATCGGACTGACTCACCAGGGTAGTCACCATCAGGACTGCTCAGACGACGCTGACGAGGCCAATCGCCAAGCTCGTCCTCTTGCCCATCTCACCTTCAGGGGAATAGAACCAGGACAGCTCACCGGCTTCTCACCGTTGGACTTCGTCAACTTCAACGGATTTACGACCCTGACCAACCGACGGGGTTCAACGTGAGAATGACAGCAGCCAACGCAGAAGGGATTTACGACCCCCGACGTCTAGGATGCTGCCATGCCTAGCCAGCGCACCTTCCGGACGGTCTCACGGACTCACTCATGGGTGACAAGCTCCGACAGCTCACCAAAGAGCGTTTTGAATTTTGTTTTTTGTTTCAGCTCACCATGGCTCTACTCATTATGGTTGCGTCAACAACTTTACAGTTGCCGACGGCCGGGGAGAATGTTGGAAATCCTGTCAGCTGACAGGTCCCTCACACTAACGCACGCAAGGCTCATCCATTCTCTCCCCACTCACGCACACCTGACGCGCTCACCTCAGATGACCGGGGGTTGTTAATTCGGACACCTGAGGCGCCACGTCCTGGACAGCTCCTTATTACCATATGATCTATATTAAATTAGGTCATGTGACCATCGAATTAGGGCACGTGGCACCTGTAAGCCCGTGTCTCTCTCTCATTCGTTTCCGGGATCGAGTTAGAGACACTTCTTTTATGGTACTGCTCTTCTCTAGTGACTCGGATTAACTCATTGTGTCAGCTCAATTATTATCAATTCAAGGAATTAGTTGGCTCATTATTATCGGTCCGCTCATTATTACGGTTGCTCAGTGACTCAATCTCTAGTGATTTAATTATTGTGAATATAACTTTGACAAATACAGTGAATTTGTGACCACGGGCACGTGTTCCGCTCATTTCTTGGTTCTACTCATCCCACTCCCCGTAATCCGACTCCAACTCATCCATCCGCACAATTAATTCTCCGATCCAGGCATCTCATCAAACAGTTTCCTATTTCGAACCACTTGTTCGCACGCACGGGTAACGCGTACTATTTTTCGTTCCATTGTCTGTAAAATGGCGTTTGATTAGCACGAAGTGTATGTAAAACGACGTCCATAGCCTATGTGACGTAAAATTAGCTTTGTAACTCGACCGATGAAAGAAATTCTGCCTCGTGCGGTCGCATTCCTCGGCTGCGCCTCGGTCTACAACCCCTGCACTCGTCAAAACAATTTTTTGGGTCTTGTGACAAAAATATCTATTTCGTGATACCTGCCGAGTGCACTCTTCGAAACGATAGCGGGGCTAAAGTGGTTGTTTTTTACTGTACTTTACGCACACCGTGCTGAAAACAACCGCTTTACGCACACTAAATCGTTTCCGCAAGTGACATTCAACCATAATGATGCAAATGACAACTTTCTTTTTTTATATTTTTAGCTATCGTCAGATTGGTAATGCGACAAGTGGATGACAATTTCAAGAAGCCGGTCCTTTGGATTGTGGAAAACGGGGAGAGTGAGAATGTGAAAAACAAAAACAAAAAAGAAGATCAATCAGCAATAATTCCACCGATGAAGGAGCAGAGGAAGGATTATTTCTCTTCGCAGGCAGAGGCTAACCTGCAAACGTGGGCATCAGTGAGTCTCGCGGACTATCGGAGAAAATTGTGAAGAAAGATCATGTATTCTATTTTAAGTGGCATTAAAGATTGGAGTACTGAAAGAAGTTATAATTAAGGCCGGAGACTTCATTTACGAAAACGGCTATTATCAGAAGTTGCCTCCAAATAGGTGATTGAAGTGAGCGACAAGTAGGGTTGGGAAGAAATTGAAACATTGATGTTGGAAGTTGTCATAATTCATTGATTCGAGGGTCATTTTGTTGACAGAGTGAGGAAAAGCGTTTGAACGTGAATTGGGTGTTTTGAAGAGGGTCAATTCGAGATCTCGGCGATTTCTTAAGGATAACTTACCAGGGGAGCTATCTGGTTCTTTCAAAAGGGGATTAATGGAGGCCATGGTCGAGGGGAGATATTGGGGGTCAGTTCCCAGGAGAGCCCTCAGGGTCTTTTAAGGGAGGGGGGGG